AATTTGCACTTCAGTATTTTTTTTCCAAAAATGTAGGATTTTTCTGTCAGTTCTTATTTATTTTTAAATATATCAGAATTTGCTTGTCAGTAGTGTTTTCTTTTAAATATCAGATTTTGCTCGTCAGTAGAGTTTCTTTTTTTTTTGAAAATCTAGGAATTTACTCGTCAGTAGTTCCTTTTTCCCTAAAAATGTTAGAATTTGGTTTTCAGTAGTTTTTTTCCAAAAATTTAGGATTTTTCTCGTCAGTTCTTATTTATTTTAAAAAATATCAGAATTTGCTTGTCAGTAGAGTGTTTTCTTTTGAATATCAGATTTTGCTCGTCAGTAGAGTTCCTTTTTTTCTGAAAATCTAGGAATTTACTCGTCAGTAGTTTCTTTTTTTTCTAGAAATGTTAGAATTTGCACTTCAGTATTTTTTTTTCCAAAAATGTAGGATTTTTCCCGTCAGTTCTTATTTATTTTAAAAAATATCAGAATTTGCTCGTCAGTAGAGTTCTTTTTTTGGAAAAAATGTTAGTTTTGCTTTTTACTAGTTTCTTTGTTCTTAATAAATATCAGAATTTGTTTGTCAGTAGAGTAATATTTAGAAAAAAATGTCGGTCAGTAGAGTTCTTTTTTTTAAAAAAAATCAGATTTTATTCGTCAGTAAAGTTCCTTTTTTCTAAAAATGTAGGATTTTTCTCGTCAGTTCTTATTTATTTTTAAATATATCAGAACTTGCTTGTCAGTAGAGTGTTTTCTTTTAAATATCAGATTTTGCTCGTCAGCAGAGTTACTTTTTTTCTGAAAATCAAGGAATTTACTCGTCAGTAGTTTCTTTTTTCCCTAAAAATGTTAGAATTTGCTCTCTAGTAGTTTTTTTTTCCAAAAATGTAGGATTTTTCTCGTCAGTTCTTATTTATTTTAAAAAATATCAGAATTTGCTCGTCAGTAGAGTTCTTTTTTTGGAAAAAATGTTAATTTTGCTTTTTACTAGTTTCTTTGTTCTTAACAAATATCAGAATTTGTTTGTCAGTAGAGTAGTATTTAGAAAAAAATGTCGGTAGAGTTACCCTTTGATTAAAAAGTCACTATTTGTTCGTCAGTAGAGTTCTTTTTTTTAAAAAAAATGTTAAGTTTTGTTTGTTAGTAGTTTCTTTGTTTTTCACAAATATCAGAATTTGTTTGCCAGTAGAATAAAAATTAAAAAAAAATGTCGGTAGAGTTTTCCTTTTTGTAAAAAGTCAGTATTTACTCGTCAGTAGAGTTCCTTTTTTCTGAATATCTAGGAATTTACTCGTCAGTAGTTTCTTCTTCATCTAGAAATGTTAGATTTTGCTGTTCAGTAGTTTTTTTTCCTTAAAAATGTTACAATTTTCTTATTAGAAGAGTTCCTGTTTTATAAAATGTCAGAATTTGTTAATCAGTAAAGTACTTATTTTATTTGTATTTACACCTTAAAAAAGCTACTTTTTTCTAAAAAGAAAACATGGGAATTTGCTAGTCTGTGTTTTTTTTTTGTAAAAATTTTCAATTTGCTTGTCTGTAAATTTTGAATAAAGTTACAATATCTTAAAAATGTTATGTAATTTCTTACAATTTCCTAAAAATGTTATGTAATTCCTTACATTTTCCTAAAAATATTATGATTTGCTCATCATTAGAGTTCTTTTCGATTACTTAAATATATCAGAATTTATCTTTTTTCCTTTTTTTTTTTTTAAAATTCTACTGGTATACTTCAATCCCATGAGAACTTTACTACACTCTCTTTTTTCATTTTTTAATTAATAATACTTAATTATCTTTTACAGCAATGCAATTGGCCCAATAATTGCAATGTGGTTGATTTTTGCTGATGGTAACGTTTTACAAAAATCCGAGACACCACTTGGTATCTTATTGTTTGGTGGTTTCGGAATGGTAACCGGTCTTTGGATATGGGGTAGAAGAGTTATCCAAACTATTGGAGAAGACTTGACATCGATCACTCCATCAACGTAAGTAATAATTAATTTTAACAATTCATTTTATTAATATATTTTAGTATTTTTTTATATTTTATCTAAATAAAATTTTAAGTATTTGCTCGTCTCGTTTGAAGAATGACATAAATTGTTCGCCAGTAGAGTTCCTTTTTACCCTAAAAAGGACGGAGTTTGCTCATCAAAAGATTTCTTTTTTTTGGAAAAGATATAGAATTTGTTCATCAATAAAGTTAATTTTTTTCTAGAGCTGATAAAATTTGCTCGTCAGTAGCGTTCGTTTTGTTTTGAAGAATGTCGAAATCGGCTTATCAGTATATTTTTTTATATTTTAAAAAAATATCGGTTTTGCTCATTTGTAATTTCTTTAGCCCCTAAATATGTCAGAATTTGCTCGTAGGGAAAAAAGTTGGAAAAAAAACATTAGAATTTTAAAAAATATCAGAATTTGCTTGTCAGTAAAGTTCTTTTTTTAATATCGGAGTTTGTTCAGTCAGTTAAGTTTCTTCTTCTTTCTAAAATCGATATAATTTGCTCGTCAGTAGAATTTCTTTCTATTAAAAAAAAACATCGGAATTTGCTGGTCAGAAGAGTTCTTTTTGTTTTAAAAATTGATAGTCAGTAGAGTTCTTTTTGTTTTAAAAAAATATGAGAATTTGCTCATCATTTTTTTTACTTACGAAGGACAGTTTGCTTGTTTAAAAAAATTTTATTCAAAAAAAGAAACTAGAATTTGCTCGTCAGTAGAGTCCCTTTTTTATTATTTTACATATTGTACTAAATTTGCACAACGTCAACAGTATTTTATTTTTTAGAAATGTTAGTTTAACTTATCAGTAGAGTTACTTTTCTTGCAAAAAAGTTAAATTTTACTCATTAACAGATTCCCTTCTATCCAAAAATGTCGGAATTTGCTAGTCAGTAGAGTCCCTTTTCCCTAAAAGTGTTGAAATTTGCTCGTCAGTAGAGATTTTTTTTGTTTTAAAAAAATATTAGATTTTGCTCGTCAGTAGAGTTCATTTTTATTTTAAAAAATGACAAAATTTTCTCGTCAGTAGAGTTCTATTTTACAAAAATATCAAAATTTGCTTGTCAGTAGAATTCCATTTTTTCTAAAAATATTCTAGTTTCCTCATCAGTAGAATTTGCTTGTCAGTAGAGTTCTTTTTTAAATATTCGACTTTGCTCATCAGTAGTAGAGTTTCATTTCTTTGAAAAAAATGACAGTTTCTTTTTTCCTAAAAATGTTAAATTAAGTCGGTCAATATAACTACCTGTTTTTTTTTTAAATGTAACAATTTGCGCGTCAGTAGAGTTCTTTTTGTATTGAAAAATAACAAAAATTGCTCGTCAGTAGAGTTTCTTTTTTCCCTAAAAAGGACAGAGTTTACCCGTTAAAAAATTGTTTTTGGAAAAAAAATTTAAATTTGCTCATCAGTAGATTTCGCTTTTCCCTAAAAATGTTAAAACATGCTCATCAGTAGAGTTGCCTTTTTTCAAAAATGTCAAAATTTGCTTGTCAGTAGAGTTCTTTTTAATATAAAAAAATATCAGAATTTGCTTGTTAGTAGAGTTTCATTTGTTTGAAAAAAATGAAAGTTCCGTTTTTCCTAAAAATGTTAAATTAATCCAGTCAATATAACTACCTGTTTTTTTAAATGTCAGAATTTGCTCGCCAGTAGAGTTTCTTTTTTCTAAAAATGCCAGAATTTTCTTTTCAGTAGAATTTGCTTGTCAGTAAAGTTCCTTTTTATTTAAAAAACTATCAGAAGTTGTTTGCTAGTAAACAAGTAATTCCTTTTTGTTTAAAAGTCAGAATTTACTCGTCAGTAGTCAGTATTGTTATAGAAAAAATATTAGTATTTGTTCGTCAGTAGAGTTTATTTTGTGTTAAAAAATAACAGATTGTTCGTCAGTAGAGTTCTTTTTTTTCTAAAAATATCAGAATTTGCTCGTCAGTAGAGTTCTTTTTTATTACAATTACTACTAACTGTCATTTCTTTCTCAGGGGTTTCACCATAGAAATCGGTTCAGCCTGCACAGTCCTCCTCGCAAGTAAACTCGGCCTACCAATCAGTACGACGCATTGCAAAGTCGGTTCTGTTGTCTTCGTAGGCTGGGCGAGCGCCGAGAAAGGAGTCGACTGGTCCTTGTTCCGAAATATAGTATTCGCCTGGATTGTTACTGTTCCTTTGGCCGGTTTGTTATCAGGTTTTATTATGTACATATTGCAAATAACAGCTCTGTAGTTGAACCAAAGTCTTCGAGTCGAAAAATTTAGATTGAAGTAAATTAAATTGTTTTTTTTTTGGAAAAAATTCTCGTTTCTACCTCATTTTGTTGTTTTAATTGATAAAAATTGAAATTTAAACAGGTTGTGTTTAAGGGATAACGGTGTGACCCAGAACTCAACGGGAAAAATTATTACGAATTTTATTATTATTAAAAATTTAGAACAAAAAATGTTTCGCGTTGTTTGTAGGTTATGGGCCCTTAAGTGCAACTTAGAGCTTTAGTGAAATTTCAACCAAATTTCGATTATTTTAGTTAATTTTTATTACTTTTGTCTATTCAAACTTTGCAACCGTAACCGTGAATAACATTTTTAAGACCTTAGGCCAAAATTTTGGCAAATTTGTCGCCAAGTTTTCAAGATTTAACATTTTTTGTTGAACCACGACTTCGAAATTTTCAAAATTAAATTAAAACTTTTTGTCGGAAAAAATTCTCATTTCTACCTCATTTTGTTGTTTTAATTAATAAAAATTGAAATTTTAACAGGTTGTGTTTAAGGGATGATGGGGTGACCCAGAACTCAACGGGAAAAAATAATACTAAATTATATTATTATTATTTAAACTTAGTAAAAATGTCTCGCGTTGTTTGCAGGTTATGGGCCCTTAAGACGGTTGTTCTTTTTTTTTTGTTAAAAATGCAAGATATTTGTTTTTGTTTTTCTCGAAATGTATTTATCATAGAGACATGCGGTTTTTTTTTAAACAAAAATTACAAAATCATAGAATATTAAGAAATTTTATATTTTTTTTTGTCGCCGTCATTTGTTAACCAGGTGGCGCCAAAGTGCACATTGCAAAATCGATCTCTTTTGCAAAAAATGATCCGACTTGTAGTTTTTTTTTAATTTGTGGCACCGCATTGAAAGAAGTCAATTTGAGAAAAACGTATTTAAAGTTTTTTATATAATGTACTAAATACACCATTTAATTTAATGTACGAAATACACCATGGTGTTCAAAGATGCTGACACATTAAAACGGTCATGTGCATGAGGTATTATAATGAAAAAGAGAGCAGCTGGCATACAATAGCTCGCGGAACGATAAAAAAACGCTTTCAGAGGATCATACATATAGAGATAAATATATCTATAACTTCGTCAAAAAATTAGATATTGAGATGATTTTTTTTTTAAATAATTTTAAGGTTTTTAGCTTTCATAATATCAAAAAATCTCAAAACCGAAACAAAGAAAAATAAAAAAAGAACAACCCCCTTAAGTGCAACTTAGAGATTCAGCGAAATTTTAACCAAGTTTCGACTTTTGTAGTTAATTTTTTTAATTTCTGTTTATTTAAACTTTGCAGCCGTAACCGTGAATAACATTTCTAGGACCTTAGGCCAAAATAATGACACATTTATGGCCAAGTTTTCAAGATTTTACACTTTTTGTCGAACCACGACTTCGAAATTTTCAAAATTAAATTAAAACTTTTTGTTGGTAAAAATTCTCATTTCTACCTCATTTTGTTGTTTTAATTAATAAAAAATTAAAATTTAAACAGGTTGTGTTTAAGGGATAACGGGGTGACCCAGAACTCAACGGGAAAAATTGTTACAAATTTTATTATTATTAAAAATTTAGAAACAAAATGTGTCTCACGTTGTTTGCAGGTTATGGGCCCTTAAGTGCAACTTAGAGCTTTAGTGGAATTTTAACCAAATTTCGATTATTTTACTTAATTTTTATTACTTTTGTCTATTTAAACTTTGCAACCGTAACCGTGAATAACATTTTTAGGACCTTAGGCCAAAATTTTGGCGAATTTGTCACCAAGTTTTCAAGATTTAACACTTTTTGTCGAACCTGTGACTTCGAAATTTTCAAAATCGGTCGACTTTGAGAGCCCCTGGTGTAAAAAAATTGTACTAAAGTTTGTAGGCAAGTTGCGTCAAAAGATGGCGCATTTAATCAGGATTGTAAAATTGTATAATATTTGATAAGTTTGTTTTTGAAAATTTTGAGTAAAAAAATAAAAATAAAAAAATTTACTAAAATGCGCCACGCAAAAACTGTCATTTTTAAAGTTTTTATTTTTTTTACTCAAAATTTTCAATAATAAACTTATCAAATATTTTACAATTTTACAATCCTGATTAAATGCGCCATCTTTTGATGCAACTTGCCAAAAGACTTTAGTACATTTTTTTCACACCAGAGCCTCTCAGTCGACCGATTTTGAAAATTTCGAAGTCATGGTACAACAAAAAGTCTCAAATCTTTAAAAATTTGAGCAATTGTGTCATTAGTTTTATTCTTAAAAGTCAGCGTATTTAATCAAGGTTGTAAAATTGTAAAATACTTGATAAATTCATTATTGAAAATTTTGGGTAAAAAAATAAAAACCAAAAAAATGCTCGTCAGTAGAGTTCTTTTTATTTAAAAAAAATATAAGAAAATATAAGATTTTGTTCACATCTAGATTTTTTTTAATAACTATATTTGCTCGTCAATAGTTTTTTTTTCTAAAAATGTCAAAATTTGTTTGTCAGTAGAGTTTCTTTTGTTTTATAAAAATGTCAGAATTTGCTCGTCAGTAGAGTCCCTAAAAATGTTGAAAATTGCTCGTTCATTTTTATTTTAAAAACGTTAGAATTCACTCGTCAATAGAGTTCTTTTTATTAAAAAAAATATTGCAATTTCCTCGTCAGTGGAGTTCTTTTTGTATTAAAAATAATTATCAGAATTTGCTCGTCAGTAGAGTTCTTTTTATTTAAAAAAATGCCACGGTTTTTGCCCAGTGCATTTTACTCACATTCAGTTCAAATGATTTCTGTCGATTTTTCGGTTTTTATTTTTTTACACGAAATGTTCAATAATAAACTTACCAAGTATTTTACAATTTTGCAATCCTGATAAAATTGCGCCATCTTTTGATGCAACTTGCCAACACAGTTTAGTACATTTTTTTAACACCAGGGGCTCTCAAAGTCGACCGATTTTGAAAATTTCGAAATCATAGTTCAACAAAAAGTGTTAAATCTTAAAAACTTGGTGCAAATGTGCCATTAATTTGGTTTAAGGTCTTACAAATGCTATTTTACATTTGAGCATTTTAGAATCCTGGTTAAATGCGCCAAATTTTGGTGCAACTTGCCAACACACTTTAGTACATTTTGTTTACACCAGGGGCTCTCAAAGTCCGCCGATTTTGATAATTTTGGAGTCATAGTTCAACAAAAAGTGTTAAATCTTAAAAACTTGTTGGAAATGTGCCATTATTTTGGACAAAGGGCTTACAAATGTTATTTTACAATTAACCATTTTAGAATCCTGGTTAAATGCGCCATATTTGCCAAAACACTTTAGTACATTTTTTTCACACCAGAGGCTCTCAAAGTCAGCCGGCTTTGATAATTTTGGAAGTCATGGTTCAACAAAAAGTGTTACTTTTTAAAAATTTGGTGACAAATGTGCCATTATTTTGGCCTAAGGTCTTGGAAATGTTATTCATGGTTACGGTTGCAAAGTTTAAACCAACAAAAATAAAAAAAAATAACCTCAAAACCCTAAACTTGGTTATAATTTCACCAAAACTCCAGGTTACACTTGAAACCTCATAACATCCAAAAGCGAAATAGTGTTTTTTCCGTTGAGTTCTGGGATACCTTTTGTATTTAATTTAGCAAGTCGCTAGGAAAGGCGTTAGTTATATATAGACTTGTCAGTATTATGATTATTTATTTATTTATTTATTTCGGCCAGCGGCTGTACTTTTAAGTGCTTAATTAGGTACTATTTATTATTAAAATTGATCTCACACACATTTTTTTTCAATGTGAGGTCGACTTATGGGGCAATTCTGCCATAACGGAGTTAAATTTGTGAAAATGTCGATCTATTTGCCGTGCAATCAGGCGTATTTTACATATAAACAAGCAAGGAAGAATGTTATGATAACAGAATCCTCGAACATGCCTCCGGACTTGTTTTTATGTAAAATACGCCTGACCGCACGGCAACTAGATAAACATTTTAACATTTACACTATGTTATGGACTCCCTTACGGCAGAATTGCCTTGTTAATTTATTAATTAGCGTTAGATTTTGCTTTCAAGGTAGTTGATCTAGTTATAAACGTGTTAGTTGTTACTTAAAATTGTTAAGACATCTTGTTATTTTATTTAATAAACTATATTAATTTTTTTATCATTTTTTAACCAAAGATCAGGACTTTTTTTTAATAATGCCATTTTTAAAAGTCAATGTATCATTTATTACCTCGTTTTTGTTATTTTAAATATCAACTACATTAATTCTTCTATTAATAGTACCATGCTAGTATTATCAATTAGAGTAATACAACTGTTATTTGTTAAACAATATAGTTACGTTTAAATTACATATAAGCTGATGTGAAAATTGTTATATTATTTTTTATATTAGAAATTATAAAGTACAATGTCAATTAGCTTCGTAAGCATTGAAATTGTGGTTGTTTCACTTGAATATGTACTTATCTTGGTTTAATAAAATATCATCATGTACACTTCAAACTTAATTTTCATTTACCAAGAACTGTGACAATGTATATAGTTGCATGCGATCAGGCGTATTTTCGCTTTGTGTGAGTGTGTGTATGTATGTATGGATAAAATTTTTCGTCCACGTTTTCGTTCGCATGGATCAACCGATTTGAATGGTTCAAAAAGCATTCGATTCCTATTGATAGGGAGATGTGCTGTTTAGTTTTTGCAAAGGCAGGTCCAGCGGTTACGGAGATACGGAGCAAAGAGTACAGAAAATACAAATCAAGTTTTTGAGAGAACGAATCACCCGATTTGAATGATTCAAAAATCATTCTATTCCTGTTGATAGGGAGATATGCTGATTAGTTTTTGGCAAAGGCAGGTCCAGCCGTTACGGAGATACGGAGCAAGGAGTGCAGAAAATAGAAATCGAGTTTTTGAGAGAACGGAGCATCCGATTTAAATGATTCAAAAAACATTAAATTTGTAATGACGGGGGGAAGTGGTGATTAGTTTTCGGCAAAGGCAGGCCCAGTAATAAGTAACTAAGAGAAAGTATTTACAATGGAATGACAAATTTATAAGAAATAAGTTATATTAATTACTTAACGACCGACAATGTATAAAATCTACACAAAAATGGTGTAGGACATTTACAATCATGTTTACTTATCTTTGTTTACAATAGAGTGAGAAATTCACAAAAACTGACTAATAATAATGTATTTATTTATTCATAAGCAAACCGTAATCAGAAATAATAGATATTATTTCAATTATTTAATGACTATTAAAAAAAAGTAATAAAAAAATAGAAACTAAGAAGACGAAAGATTTAGGAGTATTGATTATGGAATAGCAAATTAGGAATGATAAATAATGCAAAAATTTAAGATGTTAACATGTTAAAAAGTATAATACTTTCCAAACAAAAAAATCTAAAAAAGAACAAATTATACATTAAACAAATTATAAAATATTGAGAAAACTGAATTTCCAGGATTAAAATTCATTTACGAGATATCTTATTCTTTATTAACTCTGCATTTAATAGTTATTTTGCCAGCCATTTCGAAGATACAAAGCTAAATGTGCAAAAAATAGCAGTTTTTAAGAGAACTAAGCATACGATTTGAATGATTCAGAAAACTGTCTTAATTTTAATTCTGGCTAAAATTCTAAAGCTCACTTATATACTTTAAATAAATAATTTCAACTTTGCAATTCAGTTTATTTAATTCTTATAAATATCAGACAATGTTACAATATTACAATATTAATAATAGTCTATTTGGAGACATTTAATAGTCCTTGAACATTTTATAACAATACAGGAAATTTCAGCAATTTGGCTTAAGGGGCACAACTAGTGTAACCGCCTAAAAAAAGGTGATTTTTGGAAATTTATATTGAAAAAACTACTTTATCAATCATTTCAAAATTTTAGAAATATGGTTATACATGTTTTAAGAAAAAATAGTAAAATTTTTGAAGAAAAAAATTAACTATTTTTCAAGTTATCGTCGATCTCCAACGACGCGACAAAAACGAGACCCTTAACTGCTCCAGTGATTCCGGTCTCTACGTGGATGAAATAAAAAAAAAAAATCTCGTTAAACTAGATAATATTGTCTGTAAAATGAACTACGACAAAGAAAAAAAAAATCAAAAATAGACAAAACAACGGCGTTTTAAAAAATAGTCGAATTTTACCCAAAATTTTGGTCGTTTTTGGACTGCCAAATTTCGATCAAAAAATCGATAGTTCATTTTACGGAGAACTATATACAGAACATGTAAAAAAAATTTGATAGTGATCGGATCATTCGTTTTTGAGTAATAACTGCAGCAAATTCGGAAAATGCTGTTTCGAGAAAAACGCGTTTAAAAATAAAATGATCGTTGTACTATATACTATATATATACTTTTTAAATGACTGTAACTCAAAAACTATTTGAGATATCGATTTGAAATTTTAATATGTTATTTTTAAAAGTGTAATCTACTAAAAATCGATTTTTTTCAAAATTTCACACTAGTTGTGCCCTTTAAAGCTTTTCGTTCACCTTTTATATTTCTATTATGTCAACTCAAAATGCACGATGCGCTCGCACCCTAACAAAACTACACTCTGAAGTTGGTTGCCCGTGCGAGCTGTCATTTCGGACAGTTTGCAATTTTAATAAATAATTATTTTGTTTCGGTGATGAGGAATGTTTTATTAAAATAATAATTAAATAAGCATATATAGCTATTTTCAGAATTCAGTAAAAACTATTGTTTTGTGATGGGTGCTCAGCAAAGTAACGCCAGAACTTTGACAGTTGAAAATGACGACCCGACTCTTGTTATTAAAGTTTCGGAAGAGGTTGTAGAACGATTGAAAGGGAAATTAAAAGGTGATAATAGATAATTTTAGTAGTTCCTGTTGGTTTATGTATTGCTAAAGTTATTGCACAAGTTTTTGACGAGATATGTGGTTATGCAACTCTGGATGAAACATAACCTAACTTTTTGACAAGTTTGAAGTCTGAAGAAAAACTTTAAGGAAACACTTAAGTAATTGCAATAATACTTTGTGGTGCTCCAATAGTACTTTTAATAATTGTTGTTATTACCTACTGGCAGGAACAAGTTTTAATCACTTTCACTATTTTATATATTCTATTATAAACATGAAGTACAATTTCTATTACTATTATTCCTTTAGCTCAACAAAATGAAGCCCTACAAGAACAGCAACAGGCTCCCCAAATAGTGTCTAAATCTGTCCAACCGCAGAATGTAGACCCTTCCCAAGCCCCGATATACTACTCTTACCCGGGAGTCAGTTCTTTCCAATTGATGAAAGAAAAAGAGGAACAAATCCGAAGCAACGACCAGTACTGGCAGAGCCGTATCAAAGAAAACGAAAGACATCAGAAGAAAATGAACAGCACCCTTGAGAAGGAATACGAAGCTGCAGTAAGTCATAATTTGTATAACTTGAATTTGAATAATTTTATTACATTGGCAATTTTTGAAATTTAAAGTTTCAAAATGAGAAAATCGTTAGTTTTGATTCTATTAATGACTTAGGGAAAGACAATTGTCAATCGAACAGTTATGTTAAAATACAATTTAATTTAATAAAATTAGGTTTATCAAAAATTTATACCAATTGAAGTCCCTTTTCCTGTAATTCTACTTTGTTAGTCAGTAGAGTCCCTTTTCCTTTAATTCTACTTTGTTCGTCAGTAGAGTCCTTTTCTTGATTGTACTAAATTTGCTCGTTAGAATTCTGTTTTCTCAAATGGCATTTTGTAAGCTTTTTTCAAAAAGTTGTTATTAAGTTTGCTCGTCAGCAGAGTCCTTTCATTTTATACGATATTTTTCTCTTGTTAAATGTTGAAAATTGTTTTTTATTTTGCTCGTCAGTAGAATTTTTTTTCCTAAAAGTTTTAGAATTGGTTATTAGAAAATTTCGTTTTTTTTTTGGGAAAAATGTTGGAATTTGCTCGTCAGTAGAGTTCTTTGTATTGTAAAAAAAATTGCTTGTCAGTAGAGTTTTTTTCTTTTAGATGTCGGTAGAGTTCTTCTATTTTAAATATTGGAAATGATCGCCAGTAGAGTTCTTTTTTCCTAAAAATGGACAGAATTTGCTCTTCAAAAAAGTTCTTTTTTTTAAACATAAGAATTTAATCGTCAGTAAAGTTCTTTTTTTTAAAAAAATATAATTTGCTCATCAGAAGAGTCCTTTCTTTCCTAAAAATGTAAGAATTTGCCTGTTAAAAAATTTTTTTTTTGGGAAAACAAAAAATCAGAATTTGATCGTCAGCAGAGTTCTTTTTATTTAAAAAAAAATATTAGAATTTGCTTGTCAGTACAGTTCTTTTTATTTTAAAAAATCATCAAAATTTGCTCGTCAGTAGAGTTCTTTTAATTTAGAAAAATTATCAAAATTTGCTCGTCGGTAGAGTTCTTTTTTAAAAAAACTAACAGAATTTGCTCGTCAGTAGAGTTCTTTTTTTCCTAAAAATTGCTAGAATTTGCTCGTCAGTAGAGTTCTTTTTTTTGGTAAATAAAAATGTTAGAATTTGCTCGTCAGTAGAGTTCTTTTTATTAGAAAAATATCATAATTTGCTCGTCAGTAGAGTTCTTTTTTCTAAAAATTGCTAGAATTTGCTCATTAAAATTATTTTTTGTGGAAAAAAATGTCAGAATTTGCTTGTCAGTAGAGTTCTTTTTATTTAGAAAAAATAACAGAATTTGCTTGTCAGTAGAGTTCCTTTTCCCATAAAGAAAACAGATTTTGTTTGTTAAAATATTTCTTTATTTTTTTTTTTTTTTGAAAAAATGTCAAAATTTGGAGAACAAAATTAGAATTCGCTAAAAAATTATTACATCTTTTTTTATTTTCCATAAAATATTTTTGTCTACTAATAATGGATTGATTATTCAAAAAATGATCTAAGCACAGTCTAAGCGCCACTCCGGTACAAATGTTTACCCAAGTGCGTTTAGACTGTTTATGTACTGGAGCACTATTCCAATTTTGTGAAAACTATTGAAAAATGTGAAAATGCCGCCAGTTAAGCACAGTATAAGTGAAAATGTCGCACAGAATTATTAGCAAATGCGTTTAGACTGTGACTGTACGGGAGCACTTTTTCAATTTTGTGCAAATTGGACAACTATTTTTTTTATTTTTTTGAAATTTAATTCGAAATGAAATGACGATTGTTAATGTTCTGGAGATAAATTGATTTATGATTTGCATTTGATTTGCTCACTCAGATATAACAAGATGGCAAAAATAATTAAAGTTACAGTATTTGTAATAATATATTTGAAAACGTTTAAAATTCCTCGAATATTTCATTACGGTACGGGAAGTTTCAGCAATTTGCCTTAAGGCACGATGCCATACACCACTGTTTATCTTGTTTATTTAACATGATGCACTGTGTGAACGAATATTAAAGAATTTATTAATCATCAATCACTTCATTTCTCTAATAAAGGTTCAAGTCCTAAATGTTAATTACAATGACAAACCGATCATGTCATATGTGAAGTATGACTTCAATTACATTATTGTTTTT